GAGAGAGAGAGAGAGAGAGAGAGAGAGAGAGAGAGAGAGAGAGAGAGAGAGAGAGAGAGAGAGAGAGAGAGAAACCATTTTGGCATTTTCAGATGTGTTTGCTGAACTTTCTTATGTTGAAACTTCAATTCGCTCAACATCTGAAGTCTTTCAAGTCTGTTGAGTGTGTTTGTTCAATCAACTTGAATGTGTTTGTTGAATCAACTTGAATGTGTCTTGTTAAGCCCTTGCACTGTCTGTCTTTGTTGTACTTTGTCGTGTTTCAAACTTTCAATAAACTAGAATGTGTTTGGCACTGTTTGCTGAATGCTGCTGATCTTGAATGAACTTGAAGTCTTGAACTGTGCTTGCCCGACAGTCCAACTTTGTGTGCCACTTGTTCAATGAACTGTAGACCGTTTGATGCAGGTGCTCCGCCACGAAGTGCGAACGAGGTGAGCTCCCTCCCCGTTTTTTTTTTGTTTTTTTTTTTTTTCCGGACATCTTGTCCCTGTCAAAGCGGTCCGGACAGTCCGGGTCCGGTGATGTCCGGGTGTCTGGTAATGTCCGGATCACCAGACAATCCGGACCGGTCCAGACACAGGTCCGGAAAACAGTCCGGAAATGTCTGGTGTCCGGGTCCGCGGTTACCATGGTCACTGAAAATCAGACTGAATCGAATTTACTGAAACTGAACTGGAGCTTTCCCCGAAAGCCACTCTTAGATCCGAAATGAACTCGTTGATCTGAACCCACCGAGGCTGAACTGAGCTTACTGAGATTGATTTGAACTCTTTGTATCTGTAGTGAACTTACTGGAACTGATCTGAAGACTGAACTGAAGCTTTCCCTGAAAAGTTGAACTGGACTTGTTGAAACTGCCCTGAATTTGTTGAGACGAGGGCGAGCTCACCAAACTCAGCTTATTGAAACTGAGATGAATTCACTGACACTAAACCGAGAACTGAGCTGAAACTTACACTGAAAACCTCACTTCAATCTGAACTCCAAGATTGAACTGAACTTGTCAGGATTGAATCGAGTTCGCTGAATCCCAAGTGAAATTACTGAGATTGAACTGATATTTTTGAGCTCGGATTGAATTTGCTGAGACGGAACTGAAAGCATTGAGTCCGATATGAAATACTAAGATTAAGTTGTCTTCACTGAACCTGAGATGAACTCACTCAAAATGAACTGACCTCGCTGATATCGAACTGATTTCACTGAGATTAAATCGGACTTGTTAAGAAGGAACTGATTTCTATGAACTTGCTGAAACTGAACCGAACTTGAGTATGTATATTTTCGTTGTTTTATTGGGCCTGAATCTGAATCTGAGTGTGCAGTTTTGGCTTGTTCTGGATTGTTTACCGTTTCCTGGCTCCGAGGATGCAGATCCCTCCGAACTCTATAACTGCATTGAGTTTGCCAAGGTCACAGTCTCCCGCTGGTCTGAATCGCTGTTCTTGTCGTCGATTTCGGCCAGGAGCTGCTTGGAGTTAGCTTAGGGGTGCCACTTAGAGCTCCTCATAGATTGATGTTTATGAAGCTCAGAGCCCGACTGAGTTTTACCGTGTCTGACGTCAAGACGGTCCCCACACAGCGTACTCATGTTGTGCCTAACAACCTCAGTTCCTACACTGGTGTTGTGGCGTCACAGCATATTGTTACTGTGTTGTAGCTGCAATCACACGACTCTCACTGCGTTAACTAGTTATAGCATAGTCTGCCTATTTCATTGTACACAATGAATACGCTCATTCGCATAGGCTTACCACGCCACGGTTATAGGCTCTCACTGCGTAGTAACAAAGAGTTAATGGTAAGGGTATAACAACCTGACAATGTTTGAGGAACAATAGTGCCAATTTTGGCAATTCAATCAAAATTTGCGGTAACTGCACAAAGAATCCTCAGCGGCCAACACCCCTGAACTTTGTGGTATTGTTGAAGCTCACTGATCCGTCGAAAGAAGTTTATTCCCTCATCAGGTTGAAGAAGATCGCACCTAGCTCGTGGGGGGCCTGTCTCTCAGAAGTGAGGGCAAAATTCATGAGGAAACGATATGAATCTCAGTGTAAAGTTTGACAGGGGCACTTTTGGAATTTCTGGATGACCCGATGGCAGTTCTGGAATTCGTGCCAGCACGACCGATTGTTTGAAAGGAATATGATAACTAATTTACCGGCCTCATCATCTTGGTCTTTACCCAGGCCGCTTCATTTCCTTTGCCCTTTTGTCTCTCTTCCTCTCTCACTTCCTCTCTCTCTGTCACTGCTCGAAGTCTGGTGCAGCCACGGAATAGGAAGCGAATTAGAGAACCATGGAAATTTCATAGTGCCACTGAGAATGACACTTCTGGAATTTGCCTTTCCTCGGTGGCAGTTTTGGAAGTCGCACAGCACGACTGCATACTCCGTCTCCAATGGCAGTTCTCGCGTTCCCATAAACTCACATTGGCCTTAGTCTTGTATGGGCAACTTCTGTGCTTGTGCGTGTATGCGTGCGCTAGCATACAGACTTAATGTGCCACGACCACTGCCATATTTCAAGCCCTCTGTAGACCGAAGCCTTGTTCAATCGCTCTCCAGATTAAAGGAATAATAATGAACCTGCAGCTAGAACGCGGAAAGATGACAGATTCTCCCTCTAATAGCCGCTCCTCACCGTTCGGATTCGCATATGACTGGTTACCTGTTACTGTCCTGATCAGTTATTCAATAATTAGTCCCTTCCCTTGATTGGCTCCACAGAGTGCTAATGCGCCAGCCGGACTCAAGTGAGGGTGACTTGACAGACTTACCTGGCATTGTACCCACCTCGTACATATGATTGGAATCCCGTGCGTGGCCAGCGTACCACTCGTTGGTTACCGTTCGTGCACTTGAGCTTAGTCAAGCTCCTCTCATTCGTTTTTACCTCAACCAAGATCACATTTCCCATCCTTGCACTTGATCATCTCTCATTAGATCCCGCTGCTCACGCATCTGCCCGAGAAAGGGTCCCGGTTCGTGTGTGTTTGGAACCTTCAGGAGCATGAAAACCTCTGTGCGGATGTGTGATTAGGAGCAGACCCTGGCTCACCTACAGCGGCGGGCATGGTTGATGCCCTTTGTCTGTGTATGTCACCAAGATTTAGTCATCGTTCGAGTATAGAAGAAAGGTGAGCGTATGCCTCCACGCCCCGTGTACGCAATCCCTTGTACACTTACCTCAGGATCACTTACTTGCACCACCGTTGATTTGATCAAGGCGTGTGAGAGCGAGCATTCTTGTATTCCTTGCGTGAAGCAGATCCGAGTGTGCGCGACCGATTGGCCCTTTAATGCAATTGAGTGACAACCAGGCTAACATCCCAACTAGTGCATGGTATTTGAATCAATAATTTGATTACACTTTCAGTGCGCTGGCGCAGCTGTTAGATCGGAGTGCTCGATCAGCACTCCAAGATGATCCTCCAGTCACAGCTTTTTCGTGCATCTCTTGCTGTGTCCGAACGTAACCTGAGCCTGGTCCAGGTATGTACGTCGACGAGTAACGCTGGAGCCTGGCGGTCCGAGTGCCTCTATACGCTCGGGCTCGTCAACGATTGAGCGGTTGATGGAGGAAAGCCCAGCCTCGTCTGGTGCACGCATCGATTGTGGCCTTTGGGTGCACAATGTCCCTGTTCACTATCGCGTGCGCTCCCCTCCCGTAGGCAGGGAGCACCAGGTAATCGAGAGATCTCGACGCCGGCCATGCCCCTTCCCTCTAGTACGTCCCGCAATGCTTAACTAGCCGCCGGAATGCCTAATTAGCCACCCCGATCATCTTCCCCGTGCGTGCGCAGGTCCTTCGTGAGCTAGCCCTCTGCTGCCCGCCAGTGCGCTAGTTCCCACTGTGCGCCTATCTCGTGCGCCAGTGAGAAGCCCCTCCCTTCTCACACACGTTGACGCTCTCCATCGCCCCTTCGCTTATTGGGCGGCCCCATTCTGAAGGGCTTAACCTTGAGCAGCCACTCCAACGGCCAGATACAGATGGACATAGTGTGTGTATACTCCCTCTCTTTCTTTCTGCACGCGTATTCTGGTCTGGACGTGTCTAATCATGAGCTACAGTCAGGCGTGTTCGCCATAATTGTCCGTTCACACCCAACTCAACAACCAAACGTGCAGTTCTCTCTCTCCCAACACTTCTTTGTATGTGTCTCAACCTACCGCTGCTCACGGTCCTCGCCGCCGGGTTCAAACTCGTCACTTCACCAGAGATGGCGATCGAGGACGTTGCCATATCATCGACACCTACGAGTACCAGGGAATTGCCCTGTCAGCAAATGGCTATTGTGCCAGCTTATCTGCGAAGGAGGGTTAGCCACGTCAGCTGTCATGTTTGTCACATACGGTGCTGCCCCTCTTTCCCACACCCAAGGGAACAACGCACGTTCTTCCCTCTTACCCACTTTCTTACGCGCGTTTGACTTTCCTTAGTTACGTATTCTCGCGAATGAACCTTTCACTGCAGAGCACACTTTCAGTTGTTACAGGCTGCAAGCTTGACCACGCCCCACAGCGATCAAGCAGTGCTAGATGAACCTGGGTTTATGACATCGGTTAGATTCTCTGACAGTTCCTTTCTCGTTTATCAGTTTGTGCATAAGCATAATGATGGGTCGCCCGACATCTCCAAATATGTGGAATGCACTATAAGCCCCATCCAAGGATGCTCAATTTGAAAAAGGTAATTAACCGATGATTAGCAGTAAGATAAGTAGATTATTCCCTTTTGAGCTCGTAAGTCCCCAAAAGCTTGACCAGCAGGACAACTTATAGACAGGCGAGCAAGAACAACCAGCGGCGAGATTAACAGAAGCACTATTACCGTGAACCTAGCCGAAGTTGTGACAAAAGGAAAACGAACGAACGTTCAGCATGGGTATGGAGAATCTCACTGAAACATAA